AGAACAAGGAATATAAAGTATTTCCTTAAAGGTAGCTACAGAAAAACTTACAACAAATGGACTTAATGTTCAAACATGAAAACTTTGCTTATAATATGGAGAATATGACAAGCGTGTTTATTTTGCGATGAACACTTCTGACCAATACTGTTCTATAGATCACAGTGAGTGTAGTCTGGCAAGACAAAGCTATACAAGATACACATTTTAAAGAGGAAAAAACAATACTCTTATTTGTATTTAGGGATTACAATTATGTATGTAGGATTTGCAAGCAATCTGTAGATAGATGCTAGGAAGTTTAGACGTTTAGACTAATCAATATAAACATAATTTTTAATTTTTGTTGCTAGTAATTGTGTAAAAATGAAAAGTTACTATTTGCAGTCTCATTAGAAAAACGTTACTATGAGTAAATCTATGAAGTCTCATGTTATATTTATGCAGAGAATATTAAAACTTGATTGACAAACATTAAAGAAAGATTAAATAAATGGAAAGAAATATTTTTCAATTGTCTTTTCTTCTACAAGGTGGGAGCACTTGCTCTACTAGTTATTAAGGCCTCTTAGGGTTATATTGGCAGAAGACTAGACAAATAGAGGAATGGAACAGAGCCCAGAGCCATAAATAAATGCACACACTTATGGATGCCTAGTTTATGGTAAAAGAGGCAGTGCAGATGCTGTTAGGAAAAGATGACCTTTTTTATAGATAATGCTGGGAAAATTGGACATCTTTTTAGTGGGAAAAAACCCTAGATTCCCGTACACACCATACAAAACAATTTCATTGGATTTTAGATCTATATTTGAAAGATAAAACAACGATTTTAGAAAATAATGTAGGAGAGAGAATTTGGGATAGGCAAGTAGGCCTTGAATATCATGTCAAGTAGTTTGGACTTTTAATTTTTGACATCACAGGAGTTGTTAAAGGATTGTAATCCAAGAGTTGGCCATTCAGATTTTTTTTTCAAGACAACTTTTGGTATATTTTAAGTTAGATTGTAATTCTGTTTCTGCCCATGTCTGAGTCTTTATCATCTGAAGACTTTTCAGTTACAAGACATTTAAAAATGCAGATAAATTCCAGCAAACATTTGAAATGCCAATCTGTAATTGGAAGATACTAAGGGAAAATTGGAGGTTAAATATGAACTTATATTTGAGGCTACTTATACTCCCCAACCCCTTTATATCTTTAATGAGAAACCTAGGTCACTAATTTTCAGTTACTTAATTTGAAAAGAAGAATCACACATCCTTCCTTCACACATACACTTGGTATCTAGCATTTTGGTTCTACTTATAGATTTTGGAAACACAACTAGAGCAGTGTGTTTGGGAAGGAGAATGTTTTCTTTAACATGTTGAACATATTGGAGAAGTTATTTCAGGCAGGTGTTAGCAATAAGAGTAAAGGAATAGAAATGAGAGCAGTTGGAAAACACTAGAAAGAACATTGTTACTAGAACTATGGTTTTGTTATAATTAGACATGAAACGCTTATATTCAGAAATGTTTAAGTCATCATACTTTTAAAAAACTACTCTAAAATATGCAGAAAATAATTTTGAGTTGAACATAAAGTGGTAGCCATTCTAAAGAAATTGTCCAAAGGTATAACAATAATGCAAATCTAATGTAACAGAAACTAAACGTTATATGCATTTCCAGACATTTAAAACCTCCCAGATTGCTATCTATTAAAAACAAACTATTGTATTTTTTCTTTAAAAAAAAAAAAAGAAAAACAGTTTTACTGAGATACAGTTCAGTGATAGCAGTGGTGGCCCATCTGGAGTGGCCACCACCATCACACCTACTACAGTGGGGAGGTGTGGCTCGGGCTGTACATTCCACAGAGCTGGTGAAAGCGGGGCACAAGTGGGAATTCCACTCCTTTTGAGTTGGTGGGATGAGGGCTTCCTGGATGCAGCTGCAAGCTGCCCAAATCACGGCTGTGGACCTGGGCCTTCCTGTACTCTTGTGGTGGGCCTGGGAGCAGGCAGGAGTCCTGCCTTCCTGGGCGTAGCTGCAGCTGCCCAAGTCATGGCCATTTAACCTGGCATCTTTGCACTCTGAGGGGCCTGGGAAGGCCTCCCCTGTCCCTACAGGCTTGGAGGTGTTTGTTCCACTGCCTGGCCTCTCCCCACTCCTGGCCTCTGCATCGATCTTGGAGCAAGGGTGGGGCCAAGCCAGGGCACTGTTGCAGCCTGGCTGGTTCTGTGCATGCTCAGGGTTAGTGCTTCATGCTAGCTCCCTGCTGCCTCAGCCCCCTCCAGACTTTGGGTGCCGATGAGCCTGCGAAGGGAACCGAGGGGGTGGCTGAGGGAAGCTTGGTGCTGATCTGCAGGTGCCCCTTGGCACAAACTGCTTGGACACCATGAATGGCAGCAGGAGGCAGACAGGCTCCTGGGCAGGAGGAGGCAGGCCCCTAATGCTTAGGGCTGGGCTGCCAATCCCACAGCCTGGAGTGGGAACTTGTGATGCCCTTTCTGGGCCTGCCCAAAACCACCCATTGACCAGTTGGGGTGCACTTACTTCCCTCTGAGTCCCATAAAAGCCCTGGCTCAGCCAAAGCTGAGGGGACATCAGGAGGACCAACTGCAGAGAGGAGCTACCCGCTCCAGGGCCATCTCTCTGCTGAGAGCTGTAGATGTCAGGATGACCAGCTGCAGAGAGAAGCTACCCACTCCAGAGCCTCCTCTCTGCTGAGAGCTGAACACTCAACATGACGACCTGCCTGTAAAGAGGAGCTACCCAATCCAGGGTCTCCTCTGAGCTATTCTGTCACTCAGTAAAGCTCCTCTTTGCCTTGCTCACCCTCCACTTGTCCGCATACCTTGTTCTTCCTGAATGCAGGATAAGAACTCAGGACCTGTCAAATGGTGGGGCTGAAAGAGCTGTAATACAAACAGGGCTGAAGCACACCTCTTGTTTGGCATGTTGTGGGTGAAGAGGAGAGAAAAACTATGGCCCTTCAGGGAACCCAGACCTGGGAGCTCCCTGAGCCAGGGCTGTGACTCCCTCTTTGGGTCCCTATGGTTCCTAGAGTCTCCAAGCTTCCAGGCACCATTGTGTTCCTCACTGGTAGCCATGGAAGCTGATTGCAGTGTACCTGGACCAGCCACAACCTCACAGAGAGCCATCACCTGTGCCAACCCTGGAGCTGCTTGTCCCACTGCAGCAACCAGCATGCCTGACTGTACGCAGTGGCTGCACCTCAGGCTCACTCAAACACCCCTTGCTGCTCCATGCCTGGCTTGCCCTTGGCAGGCATGGGATCTAGGTTGGTAGTGTGAGTAAGCGCAGTCTGCCAGGCTGGGTGGGCGGAACAAGCCCAGCAGGTCTAAGCAAAACTGGGGCAGAGGTGCCACCAGCCACAGAGGTTTCCAGCCAGAAGATCGACTCCCACAAAGATCCCATAATAACAGCTGTACAGGTTGAGTTTTGCTTTTGTCACCAAGTCTGGAGTGCAGTGGTGCAATCTCAGCTCACTGCAACCTCTGCTGCCTCCATGTTCAAGTAATTCTCCTGCCTCAGCCTCCCGAGTAGCTGGGACTGCAGGTACCCACCACCATGCCTAGCTAATTTTTGTATTTTTTAGTAGAGATGGGGTTTTACCATGTTGGCCAGGTTGGTCTTGAACTCCCGACCTCAGGCAATCTGCCTGCCTTGGCCTTCCGATGTGCTGGGATTACAGGTGTGAGCCACTGCGCCTGGCCCAGTTTACTCATTTTAACTGCTTAGTTCAGTGACTTTCAGTATATTTACAGTTATGTAACCAGCACTACAGTCAATTTTAGAACATTTTCATGACCCCAGAAACCTCATATAAACCCTTTAACCATCACTCCCAACATTCTCCTTATCCTTCCAAGCTCTAGGCAACTTCTAATATACTTTGTTTTTCTATAGATTTGCCTATTTGGGATATCTTGTATGAATGGAATTATACAATATGTAGCCTTTTGTGTCTGACTTCTTTAGCATAGTGTTTTCAAGATTCATCCATGTTGTTGTAGCTATCGGTACTTCATTTATTTTTATTGAGGAATACTTCCATTGTATGGATATACCACATTTATTCTGTTCACTTATCAGTTGATGGACATTTGGATTTCTTCCACTTTTTTGGTTATGAAAAATGCTGCTGTGAACATTTGTGTGTTAAGTTTTTTTTGTGGATATTGCTGGATCATTTGGCAACTCTTATGTTTAACAGAGGAACCACAATACTCTTTTTCCAAAGAGGAACATCAATTTATGTTCCTCCCAATTAGTCAGTGTATGAGTGTTCCAACTTCTCTACGTCCTCATCAAAAGCTGTTAATTATCTTTCTGTCTGATTATAGTCATTCTGGTGGTTTTGAAGTGGCATCTCATTTGGTTTAATTTATGTATGCTTGATGACTATTGATGTGGTTTTGTATATCGTCTTTGGAAAAATGTCTATACAAATTTTTTGCCTATTTTTAAAAAATATTTTTTGTTTTTAGAGGTTTGGTCTTGCCATGTTCCCCAGGCTGATCTCAAACTCTTGGGCTCAAGCAATCTGCCCACCTTGGCCTCCCAAAGTGCTGGGATTACAGGCGTGTGCCACTGTGCCTGGCCCTTTTGCCTACTTTAAAATTTTGTTATTTGTCTTTGTATTGTTTAGTTGTTCAGTTGTAATTGTTCATTATATATATTATGAAATATATGATCTACAAATATTCTTAGGTTATAGTTTTACTTTCTTAATATTATCTTTTGAAGCAGAAAAGTTTTTAATTTTGATAAAGTCCATTTGTTTTGGTTGCCAAGGTTTAGGTGTCTTTGAATGCCAACGTTCTGAATGCTTTTGAAAATAATTTTTGTAAATCACTTGATCCTGCATTAAAATGTAATCATGCTATAGTTATTTTATTAGCATTAAAAACTTATAAAAGTTATTGTAAGCAGCAGTGTTTACAGTTTTCTTTTTTAAAATTGTGTCTGAAAATTATTTTACAGCTCTATAGTATCAACCCTCCTTGCTCTTATGGATGGATTAGATAATAGGGGTGAAATTGTTGTTATTGGTGCTACAAACAGACTTGACTCTATAGATCCTGCACTCAGGAGACCTGGTCGTTTTGACAGAGAATTCCTGTTCAACCTGCCTGATCAAAAGGTAAGAGTTTTTGTTTTCAGTATGTTAATTTCTATAAGGCGTATGTTCTGAGGGTGATAGTGTATGAATTTTCATTGTTCATATTTTGTGCTTATAGGATATCTTAGTTAATACTTTAAAAATCTTATGTAATTATGGAACAGTTTTTTTTCTATTAACAATTATAAGAAAGTTTATGATTTTTAGACAGTAAGAGGAAAGCTCTTGCTTAGGTCACTGTAGATGCTTACTTGCGCTTTAGTTCTCTGGATTGTAGTAATTGTTCTGTATGACAGGTTATGTCTCTAGTTAGCCATAGTAATTTTATTCTCATAAAATAATGTTTTTATAGAGTATTAGTGGGTTTATGAATAAGGACCCAGTGCCCAAATTTTCACAGAAATTGCTGTATTTAATTAAAAGCAACAAACGTTATTCATTATGGTATAAAGTGTTTCTAAAGAATGTATTAACACAGGGCAATGATTTACATAATCATTGATTATGTAAATGTTTTTTATTATGATATACAAAGTTCTTTTTTCCTAATTCAGCTTGAAATTTTTAATATTATCTTGGTTTGATTAGTATCATCTGACTGGCTTTTCATTAGAAATTCATATTTGAGAGGAAGAGATATATGCAGAGGAGATACTGTATGTGAATATGTATTTGTTGTATGGCTTTGTTCTTAGACCTCTGTGAAATGCCTGGGTTTAACATACCTAGATGTGAAAATCTTAGTGATTAGGACTGTATGGAAGACAATAGAGAAACAAAGGCAATGGCTTCCCTGTGCAGAGCAGTTCATACTTCAGATTGACATCAGTCTCCACAATCACCACTAGTTGACTCAGATTTGGATTGACAATCCAATTTACAGGCTTTAAATTGGCACCAATTTTACCTAGTTTTGTCAGGACAGGAAACAGAACATGTACAGCATTATTTTCATTGCCAAAGTGCAGCCTTCAGGAATGTATCATTGCATATTGGTGTGTTTATTTGTAGGAGATAGGGCTGAAGTAGGTACAGTCTGCTTTAGCATGGGGAAGCATCAGCTTTTATTTTTTGGGACGTATAACAACAGTCCAAGCACAGCTTTCATGCTCTTCAGTACATGGGGAAACGTGCTTAGTTCTGAGACACAGAACAGGAAAGCCATTTCCTTGATTTCCCAGTTGTCTTCTGTACCGTCTTAGTTAAGTAGGCCTCAGGAGTCTATATGCCAGTCACAGCCTCACAGTCTGGGTTCATTTCACACAAATCAAAGGTTTAACAGTAATCAAGGTCTAGAACAGTACTGTCTAATAGCATTTTCTGTGATGATGGAAATGTTCTTTATTGGCATTATTTTTTGAGCAGTGTGCAGTGTGGTAGCGACCAGCCACATGTGGCTGTTGAGCACTTAAAATGTGGCTAGTGTGACTAAAGAACTGCATTTTAAATTTTGTTTAGTCTGAATTAATTTAAAATTTAAATAAAATAGCATTGTGTGGCTCACGGCTTACTATATTGCACAGCATGGATCTTTAACATAGTTTTCCACAGTAACTTTCCCTTTCTAACATTTCAAGGAAACAGTTTTATGAGACTGAAATCTAAGGTCATTTTTCTCAGGCCAGAGTCTGTGGAAAGGCCTAAGCTGGCTATTTACCTTTTTGCCTTAACTAGTTTTTAAGATCCTGAGACTAGATGAGATTACCAAATCTTCTGTCTTACAGAGCAATCAGTAAGGCAAGAGGAAAACTAAGAGACTGGGGTGGTCTGGAAGCCAAGTGAAGAAGATGTATCAATGAGGAGAGTGTAATTAATCATGTCACATGTTGCTAAGTCCATTCAGCTGAGGACAGAAAATTGGTCATTGTATTTGTCGTTTTGTAGGTCATCAAATCTGATGAGAACAGTTTCAGTTAGTAGTGGGTACAAATGCTTAATTGGAGTGTGTTAGTTCAAGGGAAAATGAGAAGGAATTGGAGGGAGTGAATATAGATATGTTTTAAAAAGAGTTTTTCTGCAAAGGGAAGCAAAAAATTTAGGTGATATGATATTGAAGGAAGCAGGAACAAGATAATGTCTTTCATTGCTTTCAAGATGGAAGAAATATCCAGTAGAAAAGGGAATTTTTGTGTGAAATTGAGAGATGTCCTCAATAGGCAAAAAAGTGATAGGATTTAGAATAAAAGTGGTGTGAATGACTTTAGCTAGGCTGGTTAGTTCATCTGTGACAATAGAGAGAAGACAGAATATTGTTGGGACACATACTAATGGATAGACATCTTTGGTGATTAGGATGTGGGGAGTCTGGAAGTTTTTTTCTTATTGCTTCAGTTTTCTTAGTGAATTAGGAGGCAAGGTTATCAGTGGTGTGTGAAGTTGTGCTGTGAAATAGTTTGCTAGGAGAAAGGTATAATGAATGGCTTAGGGAAGTATGAAGGGTAGTAAAAAGGGTATTTGGGTCATTAATTTAAAGTGTTACCAGTGTCTTACTCCAGTGGTTTGGCCAATAGAGTATCATGACTCTTGCTATTTGATAAAGTAAAAGATTAATAAAAGTAAATATTGGTTTCAAATTTTAATACTTTTGTTACTATTTGCATAAAATGTACATTTTCTATATGCAGTAATGCTTTTAAATTTATTTTCCTTTATCATCATGATTTTTATGATTGTTATAGTAATACATGTTTGAATGTATACTTGTGGATTCTGAAAAATGAGGGGCTTAAATTTGCCTTTGACATTTAATAGCAGAGGAAGGTACTTTCTAATAGAGGAAGCCATTTGACTTCCTATTTGGTATGCCATATGGAGTAAAATATATAATGAACATTTCTTGATTTCTACATTTAAATAATTTTTTCTTGATTCTATGTCTTGTTTTTAGTATTGCAAAAGGAAAGTGACTTTGATTGGGTTACATAGGGAAACAGCATGGAACTTAAATGTTTTAGGGACCTGAAAATAACTTGCTAACCTTAGATATAATTAATTTCATTTTTTAAAGTCTCCTTTTAGAGAAGAGAGAGAATAAGAATGGATCTCTTTTTGGGATATCTTCCAGCATAATTTTTTTTGACATATTTTTGATTTTTTAAGGGTCTTGTAATGAGCAGTACCTGTGCTGCTAATGAAGTTTATGTAGATTCTTAATGTCCTCTTACAGAATATATATGCTGTTAGGTTGATATTTCTTTTGGGCCTTCTTTTTTTAGTATCTGTTCAGGCAAATACTTCAAGTTGGAAGAAAATAAGTGTCATATCATTGCTTTAAGTTTCATAGCTGAATGCCTAACTTAGAACTTGGAATTGAAGCTGTAGCTATTGATTCCAGATTTGGTCAGCTTTTTGAGCAAGATTTATCTTCATGACTTTGAAGTTGTTCTGTTTTGTTTTGTTGCTGGACCCCAAATTCCTCATCAAGCCAGTAAGATGTCTTGGTTATAATTTGCTTTTTCATGTCTCAAGAAGCTTAGATAGCAGTATTGAGGGAACAAACATACTCAGTTTTTAAGAAGTGTTGTAATTTTCTCCAAGGAAGACAAATGTGAAAACAGAATTCTCATCTGACTGTTGTTGGTGGTAGTATCAGCTGATTATACATTCTTATATGTTAGTGGTTTTTTAAAAAAACTATTTTAGGCATGGTGCAGTGGCTCATGACTGTAATCCCAGCACTTTAGGAGGCCAAGGAGGCGGATCACTTGAGGTCAAGAGTTCAAGACCAGCCTAGCCAACACAGTGAAACCTCATCTCTACCAAAAATATAAAAATTAGCCAGGTGGGGTGGTGGTGGATACCTGTAATCCCAGCCATTCCAGAGGCTGAGTCATGAGAATCACTTGAACCTGGAAGGCTGAGATTGCAGTGAGTTGAGATCACACCACTGTATTCCAGCCTGGGCGATAAAGCGAGGCTCAGTCTCAAAAAACAAAACAAAAAACCTATTTTAGAAAAATAAATTTGTTTGTTGTAGAACCAATATGTTAAAATTTTGATTGCGCTATGCAGTCAGATTTAAGCTAGAGAATGCTGAAATCAGTGTAAAATTGTTTATAACACTTAGATCTTTCAAAGCATTTAATTCATATTTACTGAAATTACCTTGTTAGATATTAAATGCCAAAGCATCAACTAACTGACAAAGTAATAATATGCATTTTATGTATATATATATACATTTTTATTTTATGTTTTTTCTTTAAGACAGGGTCTCACTCTCTCACCCAGGCTGGAGTGCAGTGGCGTGATCACAGCACACCGCAGGCCTTGACCTCTCAGGCACAAGTAATACTCCCACCTCAGCTTCCAGAGTACCTGGGACCACAGGCATTCACCACCATGCCCAATTAATTAAAAAACAATTCTTTTGTAGAGACAGGGTGTCACTATGTTGTCCAGGCTAGCCTTCAACTCCTGGGCACAAGTGATCCTCCCACCTCAGCATCCCAAAGTGCTGAGATTGCAGGTGTGAGCCACCACAACTGGCATGCATGATATTTACTTAAAATTGAAAACTTTTCAAATAAAAACTTTTTTCAAGTTTGTTACCTGTCATTTTGCTCATTGTCAATCATAACCCCACAAATCTATGAAGTTAAAGTTTGTTTAAAATTATGACTATAGCTTTTATAATATAAAAGTTTTTCGTTCATGTATTTTCAAATGGTAGAAATGGTGTGGTAGAAAAGTGAGATTTGGTTTTGAATTCTAGTCCCAGATGAGTCATGGTCATTATATGCTGCTAGTCAATTTTCTTCACCTATTATAACATTAAATGTCTTAGATTGTGAAACAGAGACAAGATCTCTACTACGTATCTCCCAGTTTACTGTTGGAATCAAAGTTGATGTAGATAGATGCTAAGGTGTTTACATTTTTAAAAAAAATAAACATTTTAATGGGATATGGTTAGTCAAAATTTGTTTTACCTAACATATTTGAGGGATTAATAATATTTTATCTGTACTTTTCTTCTTGGGCAAGACTTTATATATCTGTGCTTTTCATCTTAGGCAAGAAAACACATCTTACAGATCCATACCAGGGACTGGAATCCAAAATTGTCAGATGCTTTTTTAGGTGAATTGGCTGAAAAATGTGTTGGTGAGTGTTACTGTTTGAATTCTTGGATTGTCATTTTTCTGTTAAGCCTCCCTGCCCTTACGTTTGGAATGTGAATGAGCATAGTTATGTTTTTGATTGTGCGACAGATTGGCTGTGCCTTTATATTTTAAAGTTATTTTAACTGTTTCACTTAAAGTTTGGGTACTTCTCAATTAGAATTTTAACTGCCATTAGGTGTTTAGTTAACAAAGCTCAATAATAACATGCCTTTCATTGAGAGCTGGGTATCCATAATATTACTACAGGGTCTCCTTTTGAAAAAATCATTCCCTCTTAGAAATTTTACTAAGAAAAATAAGCTTAAACTTGAGAAAGAAAGGTTCATGTCAAAGCAGGACTGCAGCCTTTTGCTTTTACTTTTTAGATTACACAGTGAGTTCATTTTCATTCCTGTGGTCTAGAAAGAAGTTGGGTGGGAGGGGTCTTCAAAGAAAATAGTTAATGGTATTTGATTATATTTCCCCAAATATAAAACTTTTCAATTTAACTGTACATTTTTCACAGAGTGGAAGATCTCCCCACAGAGTCAATGGACACTACTGTCCTTCTAGGACGTGGTGAGAACATTTATCTGTACAAATGATCACATATAGGAGATGGAATTCAGGGTTTGGCTCTAATTAGGTCCGAAATAAAAAGAATACAATATTAGGTAGCTGAATATACACACACGTATTTTTCCTACATTCTTTCCCCCCTTTTGTCTGTTTTCCTCTCATTCTCTGAAAAATATAAATTAAAAAAAAAAACCCAATCATCATTAACTTTTTAAGCATTATGAAGAAATCTCCCAAATAAGTTCACTAACAACAGCTTACTTGGGAAAACTTTAAAGTTACCAAAGCCAAAAAGAACAACTTAATTTTAAAAAATCATTGTGATCCACCATCAAATAACTAAAACTTAAATAGAACATTAGTCCATTCAGTTAGCTACATCCAAATTATCCTCTTCATCCACAGGGACCTCCATCTCCGAAGCAGCATCCCTCAGCTTTTGAACCACAAAGACCTCGACAACTTCTGGTGAGGAGAAAACGTAAATCTCTCCAGCACTACTTCAGTTTAAGCTTTGCCTGGTATAAGAGAGCATGCGCCAAACACATTTCATGTAAATTTGGCTTGACCTTTGCAAAGCCTTGTGCTGCTTTATGGGAGAGGGTGGTATTTGGTACAAAATCCAATCTTTTCCCTTTTTGAAATTGGACCCTTTTTATTTATGATATTATTTTGTTAGAGTTCAGATCAGACTGGGAAATCTTTGTAGACTTTTCTGTGAATTTGTCACAGAATGATCCTTAACTGAAATAAGCAGAAGTCAAGTTGTCAAATCGTTTTGGAAATTCCCTAAGAGATAGGTATTCTAAATTACTTTCTATTATCCTGTCTACCATCTGAAATATTATATACTCTAGTTTAATTCTTCATCCCAAATATTAGAATCTTAGTTTCCTTTTGCATTTCCAAGGACAATACTTCTCATTTTTCCAAGTGATTTATTTTAGCTTTTAGGGAGTTTCTTGAGTTTTTGAATTTCCATGGTATAATTTCTTATAGGACTGATAAATTTCTCTTACCATTTTTCCTCCCTTCTGTGGGGTAGCGGTATGTCTGCAGAGTCTGTTTATATACCATTTGCTTCCTGGACGGTAACATAAAAATCCATTATAATTAAGTGACTTCTGTTTTTTGTTATGACATCCATTCCATTTGAGAAACCGGTTCACATTAAAAAAAAAATCAAATTTAAATCTTTAAGTGGGAATGAAATAGTATTTTAAAATCCATTACAAACTCACTAGTGTATATATGCAAAACATGTTTTAACAGGAATGGGTTCAGTTCATTGAAATTTATGTCTAATAAAAGAGTATGTAGTCTTGATGAGCATCTGCAAAGATAGCTGACGTTTTGTTAGAGGTTATGGATTTGGTAACTTTTACCTTGAAATTCCCAAGTTCTTGGAAGTTTTTGCATGCATATTGGGTGTGATTTTTGCATAGTGAAAAACTCAACATACATTGATATCAGGAACATTTGCATAAATAGTAGGAACACACGATTAATGAAATGCACAACTCTAATCATATTTATTCCATTTTCAATGAGAGAGCTAAAACAATGAAAGAGTCTCAATGAAGTGTCTATCTTGTGGGCCTTCGTTAGGTTTGATGCTGTATTTAAAACTTCATAAAATTTTGTTATGGCCTTGTTTCTAGTCTAACCTCTTCAGTAGCTGTATTTTCAGCCTTTCAGAACAATTTCTATCTTAATAGCAGTACTCAAGAATCCTCTTTATTTGATGTCTAAATGTGTTCACAGAGTATTAGAATTGTAATGTTAGAATTAGTATGGTTATAAAAGAGATGTTTATAATTTCTTTAATATTAACTTTTAACTCCTAAAAGGCTGTAGTATGTTTTCAGTATTACTAGAATGATCATATTATTTATTGTCTGAACAAGGACCCTTTGAGAGTGAAAAGTTGTGCTATTAATTATTATTATTATGACAAGACAAAAGGCCTAACCAGCACATGTGGTCACCCTAAGTATAACCCATTTAAGCATGGTTATGATGCACTTAAAAAATTTTAGAAGGAAGTATGTTAAATCAGTAGTTCTCAATTTTGTGCATGTATCAGAATCACTTCTAAAGCTTTCTCGAAATGCACGTATGATTTCAAACCCCCAGATATTCTGATTCACTAGGTTTATTGTGGGGCTTGGGAATCTGTTTCTTGTTTCAGTTTCAGTGTTTATTCAGATGGATAATCAAGGTGAGAATTGCAGATATAAACCGGTAATTCTTACTTTAAGCAAATATAAAGAAATTTCTTTATAGTCTATTGGTTATAATAATTCATGTGAAAATCTACTTCATTAGGTGGGGTCTATTGATAATTTCTTTTGTCTGGAATAAATGAGGGCAAGGTGAACAATAATACATTACTGTTACATATATAATTAACATGTTATGGCAAACATAAATGTTACGGGTAACATTTGCTATGTAAAATGCCTTATAGTGGCTAATTTTATGTTTTGCCTTAGTAGTTTCTGAGTTTTAATTTTTTTAACTTAGGCTTTTGCACTTAAAATGGGACTGTACAGTATGTTCATTAACTGTGTATATACTTTTGAAGAAGAAATAGAAATGTGGTGGTTTATATTGTTTGAAGATGGTAGCATATTCCTTAATTCCTCTGGAATGGAAGACAGAATTCACATTCTGTAAACACATCCTTGGATTATTTTGTTAACTGTTTATAACTTTGAGCTAGTATTCAATACATTATTGAATTAATGTAACAGATATATATGCAAAAGGAAAATATATGTTTTTCCAGGTTTATTTGAGAAAAAATAAAATAAGACACTAGTGGTAAATTTGGTTATCTGAAAAATTATTTGTGAGACAGATCGCTGTCATGGAACAATGTTAATGCTTAATCTGCTTAGTCTTCTGAATTAAGTTCTTCCAGATCATATTAAATTTTTCCCTAACTTTGAATAAGTTTTCCTTTGTAATCACTATTTTAAGTTCAGTATTTAAGTGTTCTATAAGGTCATCATGAGGTATAAAAAGATAAATAGGCCAGGTGTGATGGCTCATGCCTATAATACCAGCACTTTGGGAGGCTGAGGCAGGAGGATTGCTTGAGGCCAGGAGTTCAAGACCAGCCTGGACAAAGCGAGACCCCTATCTCTACCAAAACAAACAAACAAACAAAAAAAAAACCACACAAAATTAGCCTGATGTGGTGGCACACACTGTAGTCTCAGCTACTTAGCAGGCTGAGGCACAAGGATTTCTTGAGCCTAGAACGTCAAGGCTGCAGTGAGCCATGATCACTTACTGTACTTCAGCCTGGGTAACAGAGCGATATGCTGTCTCCCCAAAGTAAAATAAAATAAAAATAAATGTGGTATTCGTGGAGGAACTTAGTTAGGGTCTAATATTCTGTAACTATTCGAATGGTTCCCCCTGCTGGCATAACTGATAATTGTGACCAAATGCAAGTTTAATTGCTAACAGAAAAAACTAGTTTGAGCTTTTCTTTCATTTTGTGACAAGGATGCAACAGAGCATGTGTTTTTTTTTAATGCATTTGTTACTCAGATGAATGAAATGACTTTAAAACACTGGGGCTTGATCTCTTGTTTGATTGGATCATCCATTAATCATGGGTAATAAATAATACCACATGTTGATATAACCCTTAGAATTAGATTATCAGTCATTTTAAACTAAACAAAGAAAATTAATGTAGAAAATCACTGGAAATATTTTTTCCCACATAGAGCATTCCTCAGGAGGAAATATTTTTTAATATTCTTATTTAATATATTTGGAACTATCAGATGAATTACAATTTTAAGTGATAATTATAGGAGTAAATGAATGTTAACTTAATAGTTGTTTGCACTCAGAGTTGGTAGTAGAATACCTCTGTTTTTGAAGTTTCTGTTTATATACTACTCTTTTATGTGTTTGGAAGTTAATATTAGAAAAATCCTTAAGTATAATGTCTTGAGAACTAATCTAATGATTGAGAATACTGATGAAGGACTGAAATGTAACTATTATTCTTTTAAAACTTTTTTCTAAAGAAAATTGTGCATTGTAGGCCAGGTGTGGTGGTTTACGGCTGTAATCCCAGCACTTCGGGTTGCCGAGGCAGGCGGATCATTTGGGCTCAGGAGTTTGAGACCAGCCTAGGCAATATAGTGAGACCTCATCGCTACAAAAATAAATGAATAAAATAAAATTAAAAAATTACATGAGTGTGGTGGCACATGCCTATAGTCCCAGCTACTCAGGAGGCTGAAGTGGGAGGACCACTTGAGGCTGGGAGGTGAAGGTTGCAGTGAGCCAGATTGCACCACTGCACTCCAGCCTGGCTGGGTGACAGAGTCAGACCCTATCTCTTATTAATTAATTTATTTGAGACTCTGTCTCTTAAAAAGAAAAAAAAGTTGTACATTGTAATCAGTTAATCACCTAATACATGACTTTTGTTTTAAAGCTTATATCAAGGACATAAGAAACATAGCTTGTTTTGCTTTAATATTGTTAGCTTATGTTTTTGTTAATTAAAAATATTCAAAAAGTTTTAATCTTAGTGTAAGTATTTAGCCTTAATTCAACAGTTTTATTTGGTGATTTTAAATGGCTAGTTTTTATTTTACTGATAAAATTGTACATAGTTATTGATTTAGTATTGATTATAACTTTAGATAAAGATGTGTATATTAATGAATGTACCTTTTTTATCTTTCTCCTTTTGTGCATTAGGCTACTGTGGAGCTGATATCAAGGCCCTGTGCACTGAAGCTGCCCTGATTGCGCTGCGGAGGCGTTATCCCCAGATTTATGCTAGCAGTCATAAACTGCAGCTGGATGTTTCCTCAATAGTGCTTAGTGCCCAAGATTTTTACCATGCAATGCAGAATATTGTGCCTGCTTCCCAGCGTGCTGTGATGTCTTCAGGGCATGCACTGTCCCCCATCATAAGGCCACTGCTGGAAAGAAGCTTCAACAACATCCTAGCAGTCTTGCAAAAAGTATTTCCTCATGCTGAAATTAGCCAGAGTGACAAAAAAGAAGGTACTGTAAACTACTTTTCATATTGTTAAAATGAAACAAGTACAGGAATAAATAAATATAGTTTCCTCATAAGATTATGTGTCACTTTGGTAATATTATCTATTTTATTCAGTACTGTATATTCCAGGCCTGGCATATTGCCTGACATATGGTAGTTGCCTGGCAAATGTTTGTAAGACAAATGAATGAATGTTCACTTTTGGGACATTCTGATCATCTTAATATAGGGCTATTACTATCTTTAGAAAATTGACTGTAATAATAATAGGTTAACCTTTAAAGCCTTAAATTGTCATTTATTACTCCTTTTTTTTTTTTTTGAGATGGAGTTTTGCTCTTGTTGGGCCAGGCTGGAGTACAATGGTGCCATCTTGGCTGACTGCAACCTCCGCCTCCTGGGTACAAGCGATTCTTCTGCCTCACCTTCCTGAATAGCTGGGATTACAAGTGCCTGCCACCACACCCGGCTAATTTTTTTTTTTGTATTTTTAGTAGAGACGGGGTTTCACCATTTTGGCCAGGCTGGTCTTGAACTCCTGACCTCAGATGATCCACCCGCCTTGGCCTCCCAAAGTGCTGGGAATACAGGCGTGAGCCACTGTACCCCGCCTGTTAATCCTCTTAACAGGCTTACAGGTGAGCACTCTGATTATATAGAGGTGGAGAGTGGGAGATGTAGGCTGGTAATTAATTAATTAATTTATTTATTTATTGAGACATAGTCTCATTCTGTCACCCAGGTTGGAGTGCAGTGGTGTGATTTCAGATCACTGCAGCCTCTGCCTCCTGGGTTCAAGTGATTCTCCTGCCTCAGCCTTCCAAGTAGTTGGGATTACAGGTGTGTGCCACCACACCCAGCTAATTTTTTGTTTGTTTGTTTTTAGTAGAGATGTGGTTTCACTATATTGGTCAGGCTGGTCTTGAACTCCTGACCTCAGCTGACCTACCCTCCTTGGCGTCCCAAAGTGTTGTGATTACAGATGTTAGCCACCGCATCCAACCTGGTAATTTAGTTAATATAAGGTCATTCAGTAAGTTCCGGGGCCTGCCCCAGCCTAGGGAACCTGACCACAGAGCCCTTGCCCTTACCTATGCTGCTATAATGCTTCGGATTAAACTCAACATTTTGTTGTTATTGGTAGGGCACTCTGCAGTGTGCAGTGCTGATAGGAGTGTGAGATATTGCTAAGGGAGTATATAAGAACCTGATTGTAGCGGGTCTAGAGTTGTATCAAGCCTCAGTATTGTACTTCGCACCTGAGATACAAACAGAAAACTATCTTTAAAACATCACTCCTGGCTGGGTGTGGTGGCTCATGCAGTATAATCCCAGCACTTTGGGAGGCCAAGGCCGAAGATCACCTGAGGTCAGGAGTTCAAGACTAGCCTGGCCAATATGGTGGGACCCTGTCTCTTTAAAAAATAATAATTAAATATTAAAAACATCAAAATTTAAAATTTAAAAATTAGGTTGACATTCTAATCAGAGTATAAGGCTTGTAAACTTTGAAGGGAAAGTAATGTCTTTTGATTATCTTAATTTCTCCAGTGCCTAGCACCTGGTCTGGAATGTAGGCTGCACCAAACGGAAAACTATTCAGAGAATTATACTAACATTAAAAATATATATAGTAAAAATTATGAATATTGTTCAATGAATTCTTGTCATAAGTATATTTTTCAGAAACTTTAATTGTTTAGTGACAGACTCACATAAGATACCACATGGAATTCCTGATTTCTTAAATTTGGCAGACAGAACGGGGAATGACTATTTTATTGAATATCTATGAGCCAGGCACCATGCCATGATTTGTGAATTTTTTATTTCTGAATTTCATAACTGGAAATGTATTTTATGTACCAAAACTTCCCAAAAAACTTATGTCACCTTTAGAAAATCATAAAAACCTCATCTTTCCTTTGGAGAGATTATCATAGCTCTTTATCTCCATTTGTGAATTACTATTTTATAGCATTATTATCTATGTTTTCTTATAACTTTTTTTTGTAAATATAAAGTATACATGAGATCCTGTTGGTAGAACTAGTTGACATGAACCAGTGGAGAAGAGCAATCAAATTTTATTTGATTATCAATAATGACTTTTAGCTATTTAGTTATATTATTTGTTCTGGCTTGTTTTGGTCTTTAATATTTTTCTTAGACAAATAAATATCATTTCCTTGTGTATGAAATTATCACTCAAAATATACTCAGTTATTTCCAAGATTAATTTTTAAAGTATGACTTGTACTAAGTATTTAGCTTTTAAAAGCCACTTGAAATCTCTATCTGCCAGCACAATTCAGTATCTCATTTTAGAAAGCATCTGTATATATATATTTTGGTTTGTTTTGAAGGGGTATGATTTCTCTTTATCTTAATTCTCTGTCACATCCTGTACACATGAAACATTGCTTTTTATTGAATGAATTGTCACTTGATTAGGTGTGTTCAAAGTATTGCTGTTCATACTTTAGGTGGTAGTCTAGGTAAGGCTTTAAGTGTTGCAATTCTCAGTAGAGATTTTAGTTCCAGTTGGTTCCCTGAGTGGTAACCTAAGGCCCATAGAGAGAATAATGCTATGTAAATGAATGTATTTTTAATATTAGCTTTGATGGAATTTCTGACTCCGTCTTAACTAGACTAAGACTTCCTTGACAAGGTGTATCCTCTTCAAAAACTAAGAGTCAGTTTATTCCTTGTTGCTTTTATAAGAACTGGCCTTGACTCAACTAACCTACTAATTAAAGGTGAAATGGACTGGTTTTGGTCAAAATTAACTCAGAGACTTTTAGTTAAATAGGTGGGATTTTATGAGAGTACCACTTGTTTTCTAGACTTGTTTTGTTTTCAGTCAGTCAGTGAGTTCTCCCAAATTACATCTCATAATACTGCAGTAGGTAGTCTATAAAGATAAAAATATTATATTAATTTTCTTTATAAATTATTTTAAAATCTGCAGTTTGTTAATTTGCCTGTATTATATTTGATAGATAACTTATTAGTTAATGTCGTTTGATTTTTAACTCAATTTTTCTTAGCTTTGGTAGGGCAGTAATATTAAATGACTTTATAAGCCTCATAACTATTGTGATTTTCTTAAACAGATATAGAAACTTTAATTTTAGAGGATAGTGAAGATGAAAATGCTTTATCAATTTTTGAGACCAGTTGTCACTCAGGATCACCAAAGAAACAGTCATCAGCTGCTGCTATACATAAACCCTATCTTCATTTTACAATGTGAGTAATTTATATCAAATTTCTTTGTATTTAGAGCCATATTTGATACTTTATGATTAGAATTATAGTATATTTTTACTCATGGTCGTAACTGTGAGAGTATTGTTTTTCTGTTGTTTGGACACAATTCTGGAAAACTTTCACTGTGTATTCTTTTTCATGTGAAAATTAGTTTGTTGGTTAACTACTTAGGTGTTTTTTCCTCCAAGTAGAAGAATCTTTCCTGCTACTTTGATTTTTTTTTTTTTTTTTGAGGCAGAATCTCACTCTGTTGCCCAGGGTAGAGTGCAGTGGCATGATCTTGGCTCACTGCAACTTCTGCCTCCTGAGTTTAAGTGTCTCGTGCCTCAGACTCCTGAGTAGCTAGGATTACAGGTGTGTGCTGCCGTGCTCAGCCAACTTTTGTATTTTTAGTAGAGATGGGGTTTCATTGTGTTGGCCAGGCTGGTCTCGAACTCCTGACCTTGGGTGATCTGCCCACTTTGGGCTCCCAAAGTGCTGGGATTATAGACGTGTGCCACTGCACCCGGCCAAGTTTTTTTTAAAAAGTGATGGTGTGAATTTTTTTCCCCCATGGAGGCAGGGGAAGGCTTACCCTTAGAAAGTCAACCTATGAGCTCTAACTTTATTGCTTTTTATTTAAACTAAAATGGGCAGAAATTAAATATTTGCCATGATCTGTAGTACTTTAATTTGTAGTGAGCTTTAGATGATCATTTAGGTCTCTAAGGCTACTAAAGAAATTTTCATTTAGAAATTGTTCGGTAATTAAATAACTTTTTGATTTTCTAGAAACATCATTAGTTTATACTTTCATAAGTTGGATCTTATGGTTTTTCAATTTACATTTACTCTTTTGTTACCTGTGTTAAAGCAGCTTTTGCTGTGCACTATAATAGGTAAACACTTACAGTACAAATGTAATTTTAAATGAAGAGACCAAACAGTTTTCACATACTAACAGCATCTTTACTTGGATTTACATAATTAGCCCCATAGTTGAAGGACCATAAAGCTTCAGTCAGGTAGATCTAATAGCACTTCTATTAGAAGAGGCTGGATTGTGTGTACTTTTAATATTTTGAACAAATTTAAGTCTCCAGCTTGAAGTTTTCCCATGTAGATTTTGGCACATTATTGATTTGATTATTTGCATTGATAACCCTTTCTTGTTTTTCATTTTAAAAAATGAGCCTAAATTACTTTCATCTCTTTTTTTCTTCATATGTTCTTTAACAGCAAACTCTTCTATTAGTAAGTTTTTTTCTACTTCTCCAGATTCTTTTATGCTCTTGGGGAAGTTTTTTTGTAGGCCATTTCAGCATTTTACAGATTTGTTTTATTGATAGTTATGGGAAAGCCATTTTTTTTTTTTTTTTTTTTTTTGCCTTTCACCTGCCTAGCCCTTCTCTCTTTCTTTTTCTGTTTTTCTTTCTCTCTCCTTCTCTCCCTCCCTCCTTCCTTTCCTCCCTCTCTCCCTCCCTTCCTCCCTCCCTCTCTTTCCCTCTCTCTCCTCTGTGTGTGTGTGTGTGTGTGTGTGTGTGTGTGTGTGTGTGTGTGTGAGACAGTTATAGTTATTTGGATTTGCATTCTTTAGTAGCAGAAACTAAAACTGTCAAAAGACATGTTTAATTTTATAAGATAACTGTTGTCAAGAAAGGAATATAGAAATAGATTTAGCTATTAGAAAATATGTCCAGTTTTAAGTTTGACTTTTTATTGAGGACATTTCCTGTCACTGATTTAATGTGAGACATTGGTATGGCTCATTTTGTTTTAGCTTTTCTGAAAGAATTGGTTTAATATTAGCTTCCTTTACATAAGCTTTTCTAGTTCATTGACTTGACTTTCCTACAGCTATATTCTAGAATTAACATTTTTAGATATTATAATATTATTCATTTATTTCTTTATTCACCTACCCATTTATCCAATTTTTCTTTGTTTACCATATGCCAGGCATTGTATGAGATGCTGAAAACATAAGTGTGAATAAGATATAATTCTTACTTTAGAGAAGGTCTCATTGTTGGGGGTGACAAAGATTTCAATATGGCAAAAGTGCTATGAAAGCAGAACTAATTCTGCTGGAAGTCTGGCAAGTTTTTATAGGAGAAATAGTGATGTTTGCTGTCTTTTTGCAGTATGAAGGGATGGGAGTTTGCATCTGAGTGCTTTTTACAAATTAGATATACATTTGGTATGTAAAGATCTTATGCTTCATATTTAGTAATATATATAGGCCTCTCAAGAATCATATTGCATTTGTGGTATCATCATTTTACAGATGAGGAAGCTGAAGCACACAAAAGTTAATTAAGTTGCCCAGGATCATCTTTCTAGCAGGTGGCAGAGCCAGGCTCGCTCTCTGTGCTGTTTGTTTCCTAAGATAATATTTTTTCCAAATTGATTTCTGAGCTTAGTAAGTAGCTAGGGAATTGCATTACTTCTTTAGGTAAGTTGAACAATATATTTCACACTCTCCAAGAAGCATACGCTTTAGAATTAAGACCTTTAGTATTGGCAACATACAGTCTTTTTTGTTTGGTTGGTTTCGTTTGCTGTTTGAGCAAGATACATTAATGTTACAGATCAATGCAGAAAAAAAGGTGCTCAGCCAGAAGAAAGCATAAGTTGAGTGCTGATTTTTAGTCACATTAGCCTGAGTATTGCTGGTGGATTGCTGAGAATAGTCTCCTGAAACAATGTTGAAACCTTTTCTTTTTCACATTTAATATAAAGGAGAAGTCAAGATTGTTAAGGTTTACCAATCTGGTAGAGAAGCCTTATGATGGAAAATAAGTTATCTTTCTTATTTTATGTAATCATAAGGGTGATTAGAAACAGAGCTTTCTGAGGTTTTCCAAATGAAAATAGCTTTGTTTTTTCTGATTAGAAAGATGGTATACACTGTAGAAAATTCAAGTAATAAAGAAGAGCATAAAGAAGAAAGTAAAAATTAAAGCCCCAGCACCTGCAGGTAATATTTGTTAAAGTTTTGATGACCACACTTCCATGTTCTCTCTATGCATGTATAATGTATAGACTCATATCTAGATTATATCCTCCTATAAGTTGTTAATATAACTTACTTTTTCATCCACTGTGTAGGGAATATTATTTCATGTCACCATATGTTTAATATCATTATTTTAGGGTAGCTGCATAGTAGCTATCCATAATTTATAGACCCTTATTGGTAAAATTTGAAATTTTCAGGTTTCCTCTTTTCTAAACAATAGACTTGTTTCTAAGTATACATCTTTACACCATTATCTGATTCAAAGTGTAAGGTAAATTTTAAGAACAGCAATTGCTGTGTCAGAGTATACACATTTAGCATGTTGATACAGATTGTTAAATTATTTTCCAGAAGGCTTGTACCAGTTTACATTTCTCATACTAATGTATGAAAGTGCTGTCTGCCATTATCAATTCTGAGCCCTGTCTTTTAAAACCTTTACAAACCAGATAGATGAATGTAGTATCTTTTTGTTTTGTTGAATTGCTCATTTGTTCTTTCGTATATTCATTCACTTATTCAAATGTTTTGTGAAAGTGCGCATCGTGTTCCAGACGTTGTCCTGGGTACTTGGGATATGTCAGTGAACAAAATAGGCTAAGATCCTGGCCCTCATTGAACTTATATTTTTAAATGGAAGAGACAGATAGTAAAACAATAAATGTAATAGATTGCTAGATAGATAAAACGTTAGAAGATAAGTACTATGGGAAAAAACATAGACTATAGTAAGAGGTTAGGGAGTCCCTAGTAATGGAGTGAGTTACCGAATATTTTTGGGCTTACATTTTGGCATATTTAGACCTACCACATATAATTTCAGAAAAGTTGTGCTTTTTTCCCACTAGTTGTGAGGATATCAGTTTTCCTATCCTCTCATTGATAATGGGTATTAAAATTAATTTTTAGTTTATTAATCTAACAGATAAGAGATGTCTATCATTATTTTCATTTATATTTTCTCAATTTTTTCCTCTCTGTGTTAATGACTACCATTTCATTCCCAAGCCTAGACTGACCCTGTCCAGTGGCCCATCTCCTTTTTGTTGTACCATTGATCTTTCCATCCATAGCTGGACTATATTTCCCCTTCTCTTCCCATGAGTCTTGTGAGCCACCATCCATTCAGTTGTCTCAGCAAGAATTTGCCATCATTCTCAACTTCTTTCCTTTTCTTTCTTTCTTTGTCTAGTCAATGACCAAGTCTTTTTTATTTTTTCTCACTAAGTAAGTCTCATCACAGGCTATTCTTTCTTCCTCTAGCACTTTTCTTGTTGAACTGTCATTCGCATCTCATGCCTGGGTTACTATAGCAGATGCCTGATGGATTATCTTTCCTCTCATTTGCCTTCTTTCAAAACCCATTACCATACTGACATGCTGAAATAGAGTTATTGTCCCTTAACATGTATATGATTATCTTGCTCCTCTAAAGTATCTTTGTTGTTGTTGTTTTTTTTTTCTTTGGAGACGGAGTTTCACTCTTGTTACCCAGGCTGGAGTGCAATGGCGCGATCTCGGCTCACCGCAACCTCCGCCTCCTGGGTTCAGGCAATTCTCCTGCCTCAGCCTCCTGAGTAGCTGGGATTACAGGCACACACCACCATGCCCAGCTAATTTTTTGTATTGTTAGTAGAGACGGGGTTTCACCTTCTTGACCAGGATGGTCTCGATCTCTCGACCTCGTGATCCACCCGCCTCGGCCTCCCAAAGTGCTGGGATTACAGGCTTGAGCCACCGCACCCGGCCCTCCTCTAAAGTATCTTAATGCTTCCCCATTGTCTTCAATACAGATTCCAAACTTTTAATATGGCTTACAAAACCCTTTGTAGCCCTTTGTAGTCTAACTTAACCTTTCTTTTTCTCTCCCCAACCCTAGTACCTTTACTGCACCCCTCACAACATGTCCCCGATACTTTAAACCAAACAAACAAAACCAAAACTGGCTGTATGAACTGTATCAGTTGCCCCAAAGAGT